TCAAAAAAAATAGTTTTTTTACAGCAAAGCAGAAAACACAAGCATAAAGTCAAGTATCTATGATGAGCTCACCAGTCAGAAGAGGATGGTACTTGGTCAGAGGAAGGATTGGAGGACATGGTGTGATTATATTTTCTTTAAAACTTTAAAAGCTTTTTAGAAAGAACACAGGATTGAGTTGTAAGCAGTGGCATCATAAGGGGTAGCTCCTAAAATGTGTTGTGGAGTCACCCACAGGCCTCATCATTTCCACCTGCCTGATGGATGCTGCTATTCCTGGCAGGTAGACAGTGTTATAAGTATGGATGGCAGGAAGAAGAGGAGAAGAGGGTGAAGGGAGAGAAGGGAAAAGGAAGAAAGCATTGATTGTTTCAGATCCAGTAAGATTTCTCAGCTTTACGATCCAGGCTTTTGACAAAAACGAGATTAAGGATATGGCATTGCCGCCTACTAACGTTAATTAAACTCAAGATTTCCAAATTGAACTCAAAGAGGAAATAGGCAAATGGATGGCAGAAAATAAAAGGGACAGCCTTGAGGTTGTCTGCACGGTTGTGACACACATAGCTCTCTGAAAGCAGCTATAACGAAAACCTGCTGAATTGTTGAGAATCACATTACTAAGGAAATTATTCTGACTTTAAGGATTTGAAGAACACTGTAGGAGCCTGAAATCACCCTTGGGAAGCAAGCAACGGGAGGTCAGGACCTGAGATCCGCCTCACACAGGTCCAGGAGGATGTTCAACAGAGAACGGTTCAGGAGGTGAGTGTCACTGTGAAGGATGAAGTCCCTCCTCAGGAGGGCAAAGTCTGTTCTGGGAGTTTCCCTCACTCCCCTAAGGAGAAAGCTGTACCTACTTTCTAGTGACACTAAGCAGACACTAGTGACTGACTGCCTTTGTCTCCAGTCCTTGTATTCCTGGATGGGAAATATTACTGTCCCGGCTACCCCAGAGTGAAGTGGGAGTGGTGGTATTAACATCTGTTTTATTCACAGGTCAATGAAGTAAGAATTGCATATGCCTCTGGTGGTTTTGTCCACTCTTAGAGCCCTGGCCACTGATCGGAAGAATCCAAGGCTATTCCTGTGGAGAGGAGATGAATGTGTTTATTTTAGTTCCCAGCATGAGGAGATACAGTCCATCATAGATGGGATGGCACCATGGTGGGAGAGAAACTGCATTGCCAGTTGCAAAGCAGAAAGCCATTGATGTCCTGGCTTGATTGGTTTTTCCTTTTTATTCAGTTCAGAACCACAGGCTATACCCACATTCAGGTGGCTCTTCCTTAGTTAAATCTTTCTGAAAAGACCCTCCTAGACACATCAAGAAGTATGGGCCATGATAAACCCAGTCAAACTGACAGTCAAGATTAACCATTGCACACAGCCACAGATTTTCAAAGAGCAATTGCTGAGACCTGTCCCACAGTAACATCCAGGCCCAGGGATTCACAGAAAGAGGCAAGAAGTTGGGTTGACATTTGTTACTGACATTTATATGAGATCTACCCAATAATTCTTAATTTCTTTCTAGATCTGAACTATTATTTCCTTTGGATTTACTAAAATATAAATAAATATATTATATACTTATATAATAATTATAATATATATAGCAATACTGAATATATATGAATATATATATTACATATGGTATATTATAGAGAAAGAAAAGGCAAGATTTTTTGTACTTTAGGTTTCATTTCTCATCATCTACTTGGGACAACTCTCCATCCTCCTATACACCAGAGAGCCATGCCCAACACTCATGCATGTAACTCTGCCCTTTGTGGAAAATTATCCTTTAGCCTCTTGAAACTACAGCAGATCATCCCAGTGCTGCACCATCCCCCCTACCCCCTAGGCACCTCATTCTGAAGTGCTCTCTTCTGCATGTGCCCAGTGTGTTGGTCCTGACTATTCAGCCATGGGCAGAGACATCAACTAATTAGATTTTCTACTGCTTAGCAAGTAAAAAGTAAAAGAAAGTAGGAAAGAAAAGAATGTCTGTGTGCCCTTCCAATTCCCCGTTGTTGTGTTTTTGTTGTTGTTGGCTTTTTGTTTGTTTGTTTGTTTGTTTTACATCAGGACTTCATATGCAAAGAGAAAAATGTTTGAGTATAGCCCAGAACAGTCTGGTCAAATAAAAACATGCTAGGCATTTCTTCCCTGTCTGTGAAGGTTCAACGGTTAAATGGGTATGACTGGCCACACCCCTGGGGAGTCAAGCTGGTGAAAGAACAGACAGACACTGTCTCTGTAGAGAACAGATCTGTAGATCTGTGGAGCTAGTGGGGAACTCACAGATCTGGTAGTGAGCATGGTCACCTGGGTGTCTGAGTCACATGGGACTTGGTGACTTTTCCTCCCCACGGAGTTCCTGAGCTTCTTGGGCACAAAGACCATTGTGACTGTTTCATGAACTCCACCGTATCTAACTCTAGTTTGCTAGTCACATAGGAATACACAGTGGACCCTCACTGGCCTGCCCCCAGAGGGAAACACAGCCTCTTACCAGCCAGAACTGGAGAAGCAAGTTGGACTGAAACACTAAAGCAAAGCACCCAAGGAACGACCCATAGAACACCAGTTTTTCAAATAGTCTCAGGTGATCTGAGGCACACTCCAGCATAAGTGTCCCAAACAAAGGGACAGGAAGACAACAAATGGAGGTCAAGAGACTCACATAAGGGATTCTAGGCCCTGCGTCTGTCACTGCACTGCCTCAGCATCTCTGCGGCGAGAACACACAGGCTATTTCTGATCGAAGGAAGACGAGGGGCAGACAAGCAAAAGGCACCACTCAGCAGCAACCATCCACATTCGAAATGCACTTGATGTGTGACACTGCTCGAGGAAGATCTATTGATGCATCCTGCATTCAATTAACACATAGCATCAACAATTAGATTACACCACAGCAAGAGTCCAGTACCTCAACAGGAGAGGCTGAGATCAAAACAAGCACACTCTTAGTTGAGCAGCTAAGGTAGGTTTCTGTTGTTTGTTTATTTAAAAGTTTCACTGTTTGAAATACTCTGCCATCAGCCTTCTGGTTCAGCTAACAGTACAGTACTGGTCAGTACCACCAACATGTTTAGGTATGAGACCCATTCCCACCCCCACTCAAATGCCAAAAATAGAAACACCTATAATGTGCAGTACCGCTCAGGAATTAGGAAACAAACAAACATAACCCTTTCCATCCTCAAGTACTGAGAATAATGACTACAAGTTAAAACCAAAGGCCCAATGTAGAGAGAACGTACTTTCAGAAGAGAAAACATTGCTTGTAGTGATATCTCACTTGTACAAATAAAGCCTGTCTGAGGGTCAGAGAACAGAGCTTGCCACTAACTAACCATAGCTCAGACACAAGGCGGTCCAGTCCTTCAGATGATCCTGGTTCACAGAAATGTCTGATATGCTAGGCCTCAGATAGGCTTTATCTGTACAAACAAGATATCACCAAAAGTGCCTTGCTCTTTAGTGGTATTTTATAGTTACATATATGCTTACAAACAATATCCAGAGAAACTGGAGAGTTTATCATTCCCAAAGCACTGGGTTTATTCCTTGGAAACAAGTTCACTTCCAACGCTCACTCACTTCCCTCTTGACAAAAGAATAATGTCAGCCTCCAGGTCCATGATTCCCCACATAAATCAAGAGCACGGGAGGTGGGCTTGCACAGAGTTACAAAAAGCCAAGTTTAATTCGCCATAAGCTAATGCTGTGCTGAATCTACACAAATGGGCACTGTGTAGTTGTCATAAATGATCTAGAGATTGTTTGAAAGACATGGTAGGATGTACATAGGTTCTCTGTAAATATCACACCACTTCACACAGAGGACGAGGACTTGAGCAGCTGCTAGGGTGAATTATCTGGAACCAATCCCCCACGGAATGGTGGGGTGGGCAACTGCACTGCCTTTCTCCCATAGATGTTGATTTCACAGCTGCTTCAACGAGCCTGTTTGTTTGCCATCATCAAAGCATGGCAACAAAGGAGATAACAGCAATAAAAGAATTTCACATGCTTGACACACTTAGCTTCCAAAACATTTCCACCAGCACAAACCCCTGTGGAGAAGGCAGGCTTAGTGTGCTGTATTTCCGGGTGTGTAGAGGATGTTCTTACTATTTCCGTGGTGCACAGAGAAACCTGGGGCCCAGAACAGTTCAGTGAGTGCGAGTGACAGGGACATTCATGAAACTCATAAGAGAAACAAAAGTTGCTGGCTAACCCTGTAATCCAAGCTTCCTTACAAGTCATTACACATGAAAACCCCTGTCCTGCCCCCACAGCTGTTGGTTCTTTGGAAACTAGAATACACGATGCCTCACTGGGTATCCTGGGATCCCCAGCTCCCTGCCCTCCATTCCCAGGACCTCATTGCTCCCCATCCTCTGCTTTCAATGCAGGGCCAAAGAGCATCTACCAGCCCTACCATGCAAAGGTCACCATGCCCTCCCAGAGCATTGGGGCTAAAACTTAGGTGAGATTGCAGGGACTCCTACCTTCTGATGGTGACAGGGGACTCCTACATTCTAGTGAACATTTTGGTCACTGACAGGTGAGGTTCTCTGAGGAGGAAGTACCTTTATTCCCTCTGAGACCCATGTTTCCCTGTGTGACTAACAAGGGTCTTCGGGCCTATCTTCATTTCACAGGTGGAAGGAAGCAGTGGAACTTGTGTATCTGACATGTATGTCTCACAGGGAGAGCAAAGAAAGGAAGCCCAGTCAGTCTCTAGGGGCTGAAGCACACTTTAAAATATTAATAAACAATATTAAATAAAGTCTGGGAAGTAGCCAGGGCCTCAGAATAATGTCCCCAACCTTTACTCCCTATTCCCAACAAACACATCATGATCTGACTGACACGATACAGACTCACAACTTATAGTTCTGAAAACTCCCCAATACTCCAAAAGTGAGTATCCTCAAGTCCCTCAAGCCACATGATGGCTGAGTGAGCAGGGCTATCCTTACCTCATAATGGGCCACCCGCTGGGATTCGGATATCAGCTGTGCGCTGCACACCTTGCAGTAACTGTCTGTAAACAAATCCTGATCGATATCGGAGGACTTCATCAGGCTAAAGAAAAATCAACAGGAAAGAAAAGGGGAGGGGGGAGTCTGTTACTCTGATAATAATGCAGAATACTAGGCATGTGAAAAGCAGCAAGTCTGTTGATGGTGGTCTGTTGAGGGTGGATGTCTGCAAACCCCCGTGTTACCATACCAACTAATCACAATAATGGATAGTTGATCATTTGCCTATAAAAATCCAACAGGGGTGCTAGAGTCTTAAAAGATAATAATCCATCTTTAGGGTTTTTTTCTTGCTCAAACAAACCAGATTTGTAGCTATTGTTTTTCAGGGAATTTATGTGACAAAATAATTACACATGTGCTATATATTAACAAAGAATTGCAAAGTCCCCAATTCATGCAACAACAGGAAATGGGTCAAAAGCATTCTGATACATCCTCACACTAGAAATAAGATCGGAGTACAAGTCCAAATTCAGAAGTTTACTGGCATGTACGCCCAATAGTGCATGCAACTTGTTTTTAAATATGTAAAGTACACTTTCAGAAATGATAGGTCATTGCTTTATACTTATTTTGTTTTGAAATGCTTCTACAATGAACTTTTTTTTTTTTTTAATCAAGGAACAAATTGTCATAGGAGCCATATACTCAGCATAAAATGCAATTTAAGTTCAATGGCTACACTCTTAAAAATCAGAACAGAAGCTTCCTTCTAACCTCACATCTTGGAACACAAGGAGACCCTGCCCTTTGTGCTGCCTTCCATATTCAGGGATTTCGAGTCCATTAAAAACCTTCTTACCACCCCACACCACAACTGAATAAATGGTAAATAGATATATCCTGTAGTTCCAACCTGCTCTCAGAATGCAGCCCAAGTCCACATGCCAGCTGTGGCTGATAGGCTCTTTACCTATAGTCAGGCACAAACTCTGCTTCATTGTCCCTCCTACCCACTAGGCAACAGATGAAGCCTGACACAGACTGCAGCATACAGAGAGGCAAGAATGTCATCGGCAGGCCCACAGTGCACATTATGGATCCATCCTACTCTAATGCCTTCATCTTACCGACTGGTCTGACCAAAACCCCACTGCTGTTCAGGGGCATGGCCTAAATGATTCCCTTTTCCAAACTTGCCAGCTCCACCTCAGAGTTGATGGTGCCATATGGTTTAGGTGAATCACTCAACTCCTTGTGTCTCAGGTTCTCCCATAACCAAGAAGATTAGAGTAGATTTTACTTGTTAAAACAAAAAACCGCAGTGCAGCAAAGAAAACAATATATTTAAAGTCCTGGATCTAAAACTCTCATCATATTTTCAAATACTTGGAACAACCAATAATTATTCCAGATATCATAGACCTTTGAGTCTTACAGCTGATGTGGACCTGTTATTTCTGGAAATGTTGTTCCTAGTAAATGGCTATTCGGCTTGAAGTCCACCACTTGCCACAGGCCAAGGTTTACTCCCCACCATACACTTTGCAATCTGTCCCAGGGAGGGTGAAAGCATTACTCTATTTCTCTTGGGATAAATAAAAATCTATCCTATTGCAGTGTTCATTCATCAGTTCTGCTATTGGTCCAACACAGAATACTCCTTTATCACAAGATATCTATACTTGAAATTACAAAGAAAACTATTTTTGTCTGTTTCTGAGCCCTGTCCTTCCTCATAACCTTGTGTCTGTTTGAATGCCATCTTCAAGAGCAATGCCAGGGACACAGGAGTCACCAGAAATGGCTCAACAGGGACTGAGGCAGACCCCACCAACAATACAGCATCAGATGTAATCTCTATTCACGCCCCAGGATGAAAATGGAGGAGATGACTTCTGAGTATGGAAAAAGAAAATGTAACAGACATTAGAAATGTCAAATGGTAAATTAAAACTTACATCTTTACACCAAGTTCCTGAAAGTGGTTGCACTTAAGTATTATCATGTTCTCTGCTATTTTTAATAAAGAAGTGCATGAAGATATCTTCGTGGGTGACCTGCTTAATAAGAAACTCCAAATCTCCAGGCACACTCCTCCCTCATCATAGGACCAACTGCAGGCTCCAAACACCATGAAGGGATATTCTGGTACAAGCTGGACTGAGCAGAGCTCGTGGGAGTCTGCCTCAGCGAAGCAGCTGTGCAGCAGAAATAGCCTTAAAGGCAGCACATAAAATGTATATACTACAAAAATATTCCAAAGAAGGGGAAATACCATCCATGGCTTTTCCGGTCATCTTACGTAAGCATATTGATTTGAGCAAGTCTGTGTGCAATGGAACAGGCAATAAAGACCCCTGTGGGTCTGGGACATGAGTGAGATGCTTGAATAGTGCTAGTGGGAGGCAATTAGTGGACAAGTGCCAGTCTGGCTTGTGCAGAGAATTCTTTCTATGCAGGTTGGTTTAGATGGGGAAAAGATCCCATTTGTGACTCAAAGACTGGAATTCTCAAGAAGGAAAGCTGCCATCTGCTCCCCTCCTCTGGCTTATCTGAAAATCTGCTCCCCTCCTCTGGCTTATCTGAAAAGCCCTCAGCTTCACTGTTCTTCAGCACATGAAGGGAGGGAAGAGAGGGTGCAGGGATACACTCCCTTCCTAGCCTTGCCCACCATGCTAACAGGCCCATGTCTCCTGTAGCAGCTGGGAGAGGAACAGAGCCATCAAGTCCTCACTAATCGGTGCCACAGTGTGAGGACCTCCTGTCTGCAACTTGCTCACTGTGTAATGCCATAAGGCCCTTGGGAATTCTGGGTAAAAGACAAGCATAGTGGTATGGAGGAGTCTAACTTCCCCTACTTTATCTGAAAAAAAAAAGTTTCATCTTTGGTGCTCAACCACCAGTACACTTTAAAGACACACCACAAAGCCATCACCATGGACTAGAGTGACGTAAACGTTTTTTCACAGTTCACCAGGGATTGTGCCATCTGCAGGAGAGAAGAATAGCAGGCCATGTCAAATCTGGTCAGATGACTTTGCTCTCCCTGGTGTCTATTCTAAGAGAACCAGGAGATAGCATTATTGGTATAAGAGTCAGATGCACAGCTGGGCAAAATATGGAAAACCTAAAAAGCAAGAGCTCTTTTTGATCTCCTAACATCATACTATGCAGCCCCAGTTGGCCCAGAACAGGCTGCCCTTAAATGCATAGAGACTGACCTTTCTCTACTTCCCAGGTGGTGGAATTAAAGGTGTATATCACTATATAATAGTCACTGCGACACTAGTATGTATGGGGCAGAGCAATGACAGTAGGCACAGTCCTTGGGTCCAAAGCCTCTAGGGCAATGTTACAACAAAACACCACACAGACACACAGACGCACAGACACACACACACACACACACACACACACACACACACACACACACACACACACCAGTCCTTAAGACAAAGAAAGATCTGCTATAAACATTGGTGGATAGGTTAGACAGCTAGAGATGACAAGATAGTATCATGGAACTCTCAAGGAGGTTATATTAGACTTGAAGATGGGAGGATGGATAAGGACAGAGGAAAATGGGTCAAACTCTAAGTCAATCCTTTCCCCTGGCACAAACGAAGCATGATCACCAGCAAGCATAAGAATTTGTGTGTGGGTAAGGGTAGAGGCCAACAGGGAATGACACAAAGTGAAGGGAAAGCAAGTGGTGGTAAGAAATGGATGAAGGAGCCTGAGCAGGTGGAAGGAGAGACTGATGACAACAGCCAGGTCCTAAATGTCCTCCTGGTGCAGAGAGGCCTTTGCCAGGGTCCTCAGAAGTGGCTGTCCTCTGGCCTTAAGAGCAGACTGCAGACAGAGAGGCTAAAACCTTTATGGGCTCCATGCAATGGGGAAGTACTGTTCTCTCCATGACTGACTGTGTGAAAATAAAGTTGACTCAGAGACCTTGAAGGCCCTGTAAGGTGACTCAGAAGAGAAAGTCATTAGCACCCATTCTGGTTTGGCTAATCACCAGTCAGGGTGTCCGGCCAGTTCAATAGTCCCTCTGTGTTCTGGTCTCTTCATCTATGAACTGAGAAGAGGATGGATCTCACCGGGTTATTGTGAAGGTCTGAAGTAAAGTGGATAAAGCATCTGATACAGAGTGGCATATGGCAGACACTTAAGAAGCCAATATTCTGACCATTGCTAGCAATATTACCAAATCTGGTGTGGTGTTTTTGGAGCAATACTGTAAATATTTAAGAAGAGAAGTAAACAGAGCCATGTCAGAGGCTGGGCAGGAAGATGACAGACCCAGGGCACTGAAATCATAGCTCTTGATGCTCATCTAGTCATTCTATGACCTGCACCATCCTCAGATGAGTAAATGCAGCTAACAATCAGGTCTAGGACCCATGAATACCCTCACTGGGGAAACTGATGGGAATCTGCCCCCCCTTTCCCATTCCCACTCTCCTCCCTGTGGTCTGCTCCCCAAGGGCCACAGAAGGAAGCATACACAATCCAAGGTTTGGCAGCAGGCAATACAGCAGTCTTAGCCCACAGCTCCTCGATGTTCCAAGGTGTCTGAGCAACCACGCCCCCTCAAGGGGCCATCTATCCCGTCCCACCTCTGAGGGAAGCAGGCTGGAGTGTGATGCTGTCCACTGTGTGGTCCTCACTGTACCTTCAGCTCTGGTGGCCATCATTCTACAGCTCACCGGGGAGGTTAACAGTCTACCTTCTCTCCTTTACAGTGATCCTTCAAGGATAGGAATTAAGACTTGCACTGTTCCCAACCTGAGAGTTCTACAGGTAGCATAGAATGCTGGTCTGTGTGACACAACCTGCTCTCCAGTTCCATGGCTGTAGCATCACTAAGCAGAGTCCTGACAGCACCTGGCCCTAGTGAAAGTTCCTAATCTGGGAGGAAAGATTTTGCCTAAGGCTTCCCCCTACACTGGCTCTGTAAATGCCTCATTTTCTCTGTGAAGACACTAAGACTCGGGGGTGATTATTTTGCCTGAAGGTCCCTGAGTCTCCAACATGACAGTCAGGTTTCTAAGCCAGGGTTGAATCCCTTGTCTATAGACATGCTCTAGTTGGGCT